CCCCTGATCCAGTCCAAACCCCCTGATCCAGTCCAAACCCCTGATCCAGTCCAAACCCCCTGATCCAGTCCAAACCCCTGATCCAGTCCAACCCCCCTGATCCAGTCCAACCCCCTGATCCAGTCCAAACCCCTGATCCAGTCCAAACCCCTGATCCAGTCCAACCCCACTGATCCAGTCCAACCCCCTGATCCAGTCCAAACCCCTGATCCAGTCCAACCCCCCTGATCCAGTCCAACCCCCCTGATCCAGTCCAACCCCCTGATCCAGTCCAAACCCCTGATCCAGTCCAACCCCCCTGATCCAGTCCAACCCCCCTGATCCAGTCCAAACCCCTGATCCAGTCCGAACCCTCCTGATCAAAACATCTAAATGAAGTTTATAAAACTTTACGATCAGTTCTTTCTGTTGGTCAGACTTTAAGATGTTTAGTTTGTTGAAACAGAATCAGAACCTGCAGAACCTGATCCAGGTTCAGGTCATAGTTTGACCCTGAGCCCAGATGTTCAGGTGGACAAAAGTCCTTTAATCTGTTGGAACCTTTAGACTGAAGGACACTCCATCACTCAGAACACTGAGACTGTTACACCTGTTCACTTCCTGTTTGTAACACCTGGAGCTGCTCATCACCTCACCTCTGCACACTGACACGTGTCAGCATTACAGGTACTGACTCCCCGAGTCTGGAGTCTGACTCCCCGAGTCTGGAGTCTGACTCCCCGAGTCTGGAGTCTGACTCCCCGAGTCTGGAGTCTGACTGAATTTATTTCCCTTCAAACTAAAGTGAAGCTGTGGACAGGTACCGACAGGTACCGACAGGTACCGACAGGTACAGACAGGTACCGACAGGTACCGACAGGTACAGACAGGTACCGACAGGTACAGACAGGTACCGACAGGTATCGACAGGTACCGACAGGTACAGACAGGTACAGGATCTCAGCCTGATTCAAGTGAGTTTAACTCCTTTGAGTCTGGAGTTAATATTTAAATGAATCTGCAGGTGTTTGAAGCAGGGATGTTTCTCAGTAAAGGTTCAGGTGTTTGAAGCAGGGATGTTTCACAGTAAAGGTTCAGGTGTTTGAAGCAGGGATGTTTCACAGTAAAGGTTCAGGTGTTTGAAGCAGGGATGTTTCACAGTAAAGGTTCAGGTGTTTAAAACAGGGATGTTTCACAGTAAAGGTTCAGGTGTTTGAAGCAGGGATGTTTCACAGTAAAGGTTCAGGTGTTTGAAACGGATGTTTCACAGTAAAGGTTCAGGTGTTTAAAACAGGGATGTTTCACAGTAAAGGTTCAGGTGTTTAAAACAGGGATGTTTCA